TGAGTCACTGAATGAGTCTCTGAGTGAGTCACTGAGTGAGTCACTGAATGAGTCACTGAATGAGTCACTGAGTGAGTCACTGAGTCCCTGAATGAGTCACTGAATGAGTCACTGAGTGAGTCACTGAGTCACTGAGTGAGTCACTGAGTGAGTCCCTGTTGTCTTGCAGGTCCATCACTGTGGATCTCTGGTGGAGCTGCTGAGGATCAGTGAAACCCGTGGGGTCAGGTGGAGTGGACCGGAGCCTGGAGCGATGGGTACCTGTCTGTCTGTCTGTCTTCACTGTCTGTCTGTCTGTCTGTCTGTCTGTCTGCTACTCATCTCGTCTGATCTGTTCTTCTGTCTGCTCTGTCTGTCTCTCTGTCCTCTCCTTCTGATCTGTCTGTCTGTCTCCTCTGCTCTGGCTCCTCATGCTTGTCTGTCTGGTACTGTCTCGGCTCCCTGTCTGTCTCTCTGTCTCTCTGTATGTCTGTCTGTTTGTATGTCTGTCTGTCTCTCTGTCTGTCTCTCTGTATGTCTGTCTGTCTGTCTGTATGTCTGTCTGTCTCTCTGTCTGTCTGTATGTCTGTCTGTCTCTCTGTCTTTCTCTATGTCTGTTTCTCTGTCTGTCTGTATGTCTCTCTGTCTCTGTCTCTCTGTCTGTCTTTCTGTCTGTCTCTCTGTTTGTCTCTCTGACTGTCTGTCTGTCTGTCTCTCTGTCACTGTGTGTGAAGCAGGCAGGACCCAAATGCAGATTAAAGTTAAAATTCCTTTATTTCAAGGCTAGGTGATAAACAAAGACAAAACAGAACACTCACCGACGAACTAGTCATGACACAAGACGAACCGACACTGAACACAGGAAGAGACAAGACTAAATACAGGGAGGGGTAATCACAAGACGAGACACAGCCTGGCAGGGGAGGAGAAACACAAGGGCCACAGGTGAAAACAATCAGACACACCAGGGAAACTAACGACAGGAGGAGAAACACAGGGAAAAGGACCAGACAATAAACAAGAGGAAAACATGACAGGGAGAACAGCAAAACACCCAAAACACGACATAGAAAACGTGACATAACACAATAATCGTAACAGAACCCCCCCCTCAAGGGACGGATTCCAGACGTCCCTAAAACACCCAAAACAGTCCAATAAACGTAAAAAAAAAACAAAAAAAACAATGTCCTTCAGGGTGGGTGGAGGGGGACCGGAGGACGGGTCTGGGCTGACAACCCAAGAGCACCGCGGAGGACCCGGAAGGGATCTCGGGCGGACGGCCCGGGGGCAAGGCAGAAGCCGAGAAGGGGGACTCGGGCGGACGGCCCGGGGGCAAGACAGAGTCCAAGGTGGGGGTTATGAAGGGGCGAAGGCCACCGCGGGTGAACTCAGGGGGCCGAGCATGAGGGCGAGGGCCGCGGCCGGGAAAGTCAGAGGGCCGGGCTCGAGGGCGAAGGCCGTGGCTCTCAGGGGGCCGGGATCGAGGGTGAAGACCAGACAGCTCCGGAGGCTGGGCAGGACCCGGTGTCGGAGCTGGTGGGACAGGCCTCGGCAGGATCCCCCACGGAAGAGGACCAGGACACGGGATTGGCAGGACCCCCGGCAGGAGAGCAGTCGGCGGGGCCTCCAACGGCACAGGACATAGGATTGGCAGGACCCCCGGCAGGGGAGTAGACGGCGGGACCTCCAACAGGACAGGACAAAGGGTTGGCAGGACCCCCGGCAGGAGAGTAGTCGGCGGGGCCTCCAACGGCACAAGACAAAGGGTTGGCAGGACCCCCGGCAGGAGAGTAGTCGGCCGGGCCTCCAACGAGACAGGACAAGGAGCTGGCAGGACCCCCGGCAGGGGAGTAGACGGCGGGACCTCCAACGGGACAAAGGGTTGGCAGGACCCCCGGCAGGAGAGTAGTCGGCGGGGCCTCCAACGGCACAAGACAAAGGGTTGGCAGGACCCCCGGCAGAAAGTAGACGGCGAGACCTCCAACGGGACAGGACAAAGGGTTGGCAGGACCCCCGGCAGGAGAGTAGTCGGCGGGACCTCCAACGAGACAGGACAAGGAGCTGGCAGGACCCCCGGCAGGAGAGTAGACGGCGGGACCTCCAACGGGACAGACATACGATTGGTAGGACCCCCGGCAGAGGAGTAGTCGACGGGGCCTCCAACGGGACAGGACATTGGGTAGGGACTTGAGACGTGACTCGAGAAGGGACTCGAGAGGAGACTCGAGAGGAGACTCGAGAGGAGACTCGAGAGGGGAACCAAGGGGGAACTCGAGAGGGGACTCGAGAGGAGACTCAAGAGGGAACTGGAGAGGGGACTAGAGGAGAGAGGAGGGACTAGAGGAGGGACCTGGGAAGGGACCAGAGAGGGGACTAGAGAAGTGACTAGAGGAGGGACTTGAGAAGGGACTAGAGATGGAACTCGAGAGGTGACTCGAGAAGGGACTAGAGATGGAACTCGAGAGGTGACTCGAGAAGGGACTAGAGATGGAACTCGAGAGGTGACTCGAGAAGGGACTAGAGATGGAACTTGAGAGGAAACTGGAGAGGGGACTTGAGAAGAAACTGGAGAGGGGACACAAGAGGAAACTTTTGATGAGACTGTGGCAGCTGGGGTCAGAGCTGGGTCTGGAACCATGGCTGCGGGGGCCGGAATTGAAGCCAGAATTATGGCTGTAAGGTCCGGTTCTGGAGCCGGAAACATGGCTGTAAGGTCCGGTTCTGGAGCCGGAAACATGGCTGTAAGGTCCGGTTCTGGAGCCGGAAACATGGCTGAATGGGCCGGGTCTGGAGCCGGAATTGAAGCCAGAATCATGGCTGTAAGGTCCGGTTCTGAAGCCGGAACCATGGCTGTAAGGTCCGGTTCTGGAGCCGGAAACATGGCTGTAAGGTCCGGTTCTGGAGCCGGAAACATGGCTGAATGGGCCGGCTCTGGAGCCGGAATTGTGGCTGCTCGGGCTGCTAACCTGGCCTTGCGACGACTCCTCTTAGCAGCCGCCTGAATACTCCGTGGACCTCCATAAGCCAGCCGAGTTCCGGAATACAACTCCTGGACAGGAGCAGGAACTGGGGCAGAAGCACGGGTTGACTTCTGGTGGAATCCACCAAGGCGTATGGTGCCAGGTTGGGAATTGGGAGACATGGAGTTAGCATGCCTGGGGCTAGCAGGCCGGGAATCACATGTTTCAAGGAAGTCCAAAATCCAGTCAGGTAAGAACTCCACAAAATATAGTTTCTCTGCTGCCAACCGGTGCGCCTCTACCAGAGCGGCCCTCTTCTGCCGAACACTGGACGCTCCCTTCCACCAATCGAAGCAGCAAGCCAGATAGAAGGTAAAATGCTGTAATTCTACCTCCCATGGATCATCTGCTGGGTCCATTTGTTGGGTCGGTTCGTAATGTTACGGTGTGTGAAGCAGGCAGGACCCAAATGCAGACAAAGTGAAAATTCCTTTATTTCAAGGCTAGGTGCTATACAAAGACAAAACAGAACACTCACCGACGAACTAGTCATGACACAAGACGAACCGACACTGAACACAGGAAGAGACAAGACTAAATACAGGGAGGGGTAATCACAAGACGAGACACAGCCGGGCAGGGGAGTAGAAACACAAGGGCCACAGGTGAAAACAATCAGACACACCAGGGAAACTAACGACAGGAGGAGAAACACAGGGAAAAGGACCAGACAATAAACAAGAGGAAAACATGACAGGGAGAACAGCAAAACACCCAAAACACGACATAGAAAACGTCTGTCTGTCTGTCTGTCTGTCTGTCTGTCTGTCTGTCTGTCTGTCTGTCTGTCTGTCTGTCTGTCTGTCTGATGGATCTCTGATGGATCTCTGATGGATCTCTCTCTCTCTCTCTCTCTCTCTCTCTGATGGACCTGTCTGTCTGATGGACCTGTCTCTCTGATGGACCTGTCTATCTGATGGACCTGTCTCTCTGATGGACCTGTCTGTCTGTGTCTCTGATGGACCTGTCTCTCTGATGGACCTGTCTCTCTGATGGACCTGTCTGTCTGATGGACCTGTCTCTCTGATGGACCTGTCTGTCTGTGTCTCTGATGGACCTGTCTCCAGCTCTAAGCAGTGGGATGGAGTGGAGGAGAAGGATCTGGATCACTCTGCTGATGATGGAGAGTTCTGGTAATGAATATCAGCATCAGATCTCACTCACTGTAACTGTATACAAAGTACATGTGTAACTATATATATTTATATGTGTATATGTAACTATTACCTCATTCACACCAACGCAACTCCGGTTCAAGCTCCGTACTAGAGCTTTTCAGGTTCAGAACCGGTTCTTCGGTTTAGCTCCGGCTCTTTTCACACCGCCTAGAGTCCGACTGGTGCTGTGTCATTGCGTCATCGTTTGCGTCATGACGTAACCGTTTGCGTGCCTGCTTCATAAAGCCAACCCGCGCGGAAACCCCAACAACAATGGCCGATTGTGCTCCAGCTTCCTCTGCACCTCTTCGGAAGACCAGATTCCCAGCAGGTCGCTGGTCTTTTCAGTGGACCACTGCTGCTTGTTAAGTTTCTCCATCGTAGTGTACAAACTGGATAAAACGCCGGCTTCTTGTTGTTGTTCAGGAGTTGATCCACCCCTGCCCCCGCCTCGACATCAGCGTGACGCATGCGGTGCTTTTGCTCTAGCCGGACAATTTTTTGGTGCTTCAAACGAACCGGATTCCGGAGCTAAGAGGCTGCTCCGCTGCGGTGTGAACAGGAAAACCCGGTGCTTTTCAAGCTCCAGCTCCGAACCGGCCCTGAAACACCGTTGGTGTGAATGAGGTATATATGACTGTAATGCGATATATGAATCTAAGCGAGCTCCTCCCCACAGGATGTGCTACGCTGACTTCCTGCGTCAGTTTTCCCACCTGGACATCTGTAACCTGAGCCCAGACGCTCTGAGCGGCGAGGGCAGGGGCCTCTGGAGATACAGCCAGTTTGAGGGTGTCTGGAGGGTGGGGTCCACCGCAGGGGGGTGCAGGAACTACCCAGGTATATCCCTCTCTCCTTAGTTATTCACTTCCTGTAAACACAGTTGGAATCAGAGGATGAAACCCTCTTTAATGGTCACACAGCACACAGTGACATTTAACCTCTGCTTTTAACCCATCCTAGTACTGGGAGCAGTTCCAGTAACACTTCCTGTAACACTTCCTGTAACACTTCCAGTAACACTTCCTGTAACACTTTCTATAACACTTCCTTTTTCCTGCAGCCACGTTCTGCTCCAACCCTCAGTTCCTGGTGCGGCTGCTGGAGGAGGACGAGGGTCTCCAGGAGGGGGAGGAAGGCTGCACCCTGATCCTGGGTCTGCTGCAGAGAGACGCTCGTAGAGAGAGGCGGTACGGAGGAGACCTCAACACCATTGGGTTCTCCATCTACAGGGTACACACACACACACACACACACACACACAAAGACAGTTACGGTGCGGTAAAGCGACTGCAGTACCGCTCCCGCTGCTCCGATTCTCCGGCCCATCTCACACTCCACTGTTTCCTCACTCGAGAACAAGCCCCCGAGATACTTGAACTCCTTCACTTGGGGTAAGGACTCATTCCCTACTTGGAGTGGACAGTCCATCGGTTTCCTGCTGAGAACCATGGCCTCAGATTTGGAGGTGCTGATCCTCATCCCAGCAGCTTCACACTCGGTTGCGAACCGATCCAGTGAGTGCTGAAGGTCGCAGACCGATGAAGCCATTAGAACCACATCATCTGCAAAAAGCAGTGGTGCAATCCTCAGTCCACCGAACTGCAGACCCCCTCCCCCATGACTACGCCTCGAAATCCGATCCATGTATATTACAAACAGGATTGGTGACAAAGCGCAGTCCTGGCGGAGGCCAACCCTCACCGGAAATGGGTCCGACTTACTGCAGAGGACCCGGACACAGCTCTCGCTTTGGGAGTACAGAGATTGGATGGCCCTGAGTAGAGACCCTCTCACCCCATACTCCCGCAGCACCTCCTACAGTAACTCCCTGGGAACTCGGTCATACGCCTTCTCCAAGTCTACAAAACACATGTAGACCGGATAAGCGTACTGCCAGGCCCCCTCCAGGATCCTTCCAAGAGTAAAAAGCTGAGGAGTCGAGGATAGGAGTCGAGGAGGGGAGTCGAGGAGGGGAGTCGAGGATAGGAGTCGAGGAGGGGAGTCGAGGAGGGGAGTCGAGGATAGGAGTCGAGGAGGGGAGTTAGAGAAATGAGAAACCTCTTCTGACTGTGTGCTTCTGTGTCTTCAGGCTCCTGAGGAGGTGAGTTCTGACAGCAGGAGGAGCTGATCCACATCCAAACAGACAGACTGTGGAGATAACAGAACACCTCCTCTTCCTCCTCCTCCTCTTCCTTCTCCTCTCCTCTCCTTCTCCTCCTCCTCTTCCTCCTCCTCTTCTTCTGTGGTCCTCCTCCTCTTGCTCCTCCTCCTCCTCTTCCTCCTCCTCCTCTTCCTTCTCCTCTTGCTCCTCCTCCTCCTCCTCCTTAGTTTAAAGGTCACCTGGGTCCTGACCTCCTCCTTGGTGGAGCGGCGGTGTCTCGCAGCAGGAGTTTCATTAATCTGAGGGAGGTCAGTGAGCGCTTTGTTCTGCCACCCGGAGAATACGTCGTGATCCCGTCGACCTTCGAGCCCCATCGGAGGGGCAGCTTCCTGCTGAGGGTGTTCACCGAGAAGCAGGCACACGCCGGGTAATACACCCACACATATCAATACATGAACAGGTACCATACACAGGACCACATCAGGTGATACACCCACATATATCAATACATGAACAGGTACCCTACACAGGACCACATCAGGTGATACACCCAATCAATACATGAACAGGTACCATACACAGGACCACATCAGGTGATACACCCACATATATCAATACATGAACAGGTACCCTACACAGGACCACATCAGGTGATACACCCAATCAATACATGAACAGGTACCATACACAGGACCACATCAGGTGATACACCCACATATATCAATACATGAACAGGTACCCTACACAGGACCACATCAGGTGATACACCCAATCAATACATGAACAGGTACCATACACAGGACCACATCAGGTGATACACCCACATATATCAATACATGAACAGGTACCCTACACAGCACCACATCAGGTGATACACCCAATCAATACATGAACAGGTACCATACACAGGACCACATCAGGTGATACACCCAATCAATACATGAACAGGTACCCTACACAGGACCACATCAGGTGATACACCCACACATATCAATAAATGAACAGGTAGCATACACAGGACCACATCAGGTGATACACCCACATATCAATACATGAACAGGTACCCTACACAGGACCACATCAGGTGATACACCCAATCAATACATGAACAGGTACCCTACACAGGAACACATCAGGTGATACACCCAATCAATACATGAACAGGTACCATACACAGGACCACATCAGGTGATACACCCAATCAATACATGAACAGGTACCATACACAGGACCACATCAGGTAATACACCCAATCAATACATGAACAGGTACCCTACACAGGACCACATCAGGTAATACACCCAATCAATACATGAACAGGTACCCTACACAGACCACATCAGGTGATACACCCAATCAATACATGAACAGGTACCATACACAGGACCACATCAGGTGATACACCCAATCAATACATGAACAGGTACCATACACAGGACCACATCAGGTAATACACCCAATCAATACATTAAACAGGTACCCTACACAGGACCACATCAGGTGATACACCCAATCAATACATGAACAGGTACCCTACACAGGACCACATCAGGTGATACACCCAATCAATACATGAACAGGTACCCTACACAGGACCACATCAGGTGATACACCCAATCAATACATGAACAGGTACCATACACAGGACCACATCAGGTGATACACCCAATCAATACATGAACAGGTACCCTACACAGGACCACATCAGGTGATACACCCAATCAATACTTAAACAGGTACCCTACACAGGACCACATCAGGTGATACACCCAATCAATACATGAACAGGTACCATACACAGGACCACATCAGGTAATACACCCAATCAATACATGAACAGGTACCATACACAGGACCACATCAGGTGATACACCCAATCAATACATGAACAGGTACCATACACAGGACCACATCAGGTAATACACCCAATCAATACATGAACAGGTACCATACACAGGACCACATCAGGTGATACACCCAATCAATACATGAACAGGTACCCTACACAGGACCACATCAGGTGATACACCCAATCAATACATGAACAGGTACCATACACAGGACCACATCAGGTAATACACCAAATCAATAGATGAACAGGTACCCTACACAGGACCACATCAGGTGATACACCCAATCAATACATGAACAGGTACCCTACACAGGACCATATCAGGTGATACACCCAATCAATACATGAACAGGTACCCTACACAGGACCACATCAGGTAATACACCAAATCAATAGATGAACAGGTACCCTACACAGGACCACATCAGGTGATACACCCAATCAATACATGAACAGGTACCATACACAGGACCACATCAGGTGATACACCCAATCAATACATGAACAGGTACCATACACAGGACCACATCAGGTGATACACCCAATCAATACATGAACAGGTACCATACACAGGACCACATCAGGTAATACACCCAATCAATACATGAACAGGTACCATACACAGGACCACATCAGGTGATGGTGCATCTTCTGTGTTTCAGTCCGCTGGAGGAGCCGCTGACTGCAGACGTCCAGGAGGTGAAGCTTCCTCTGGAACTCTGACGAAGACTCAGGACGTTCAGACTGATGAAGACCTCTCAGACTGATCTCTCAGACTGATGAAGATCTCTCAGTCTGATGAAGACCTCTCAGACTGATGAAGATCTCTCAGTCTGATGAAGATCTCTCATACTGATGAAGACTCTCAGACTGATGAAGACTCTCAGACTGATGAAGACCTCTCAGACTGATGAAGACCTTTCAGTCTGATGAAGATCTCTCAGACCTCTCAGACTGATGAAGACTCTTGTTTGTTTTTCAGATTGATGATGAAGAGAGCGATGTGGACCCTCACTTCAGGCGTCTCTTTCTGCAGATCTCTGGAAACGTAACTCAGCGTCTCAGGAAATCTATACATTTGTATAATCAAAGAATAGAGGGGAGGGGGGGAGGAGAGAGGGGAGAGAAGCGGCGAGAGGATGAGAGGGGGAGCGAGGGCGATGAGGGAGAGAGGCGAGAGCAGGATGAGAGGTGGTAGAGAGGAGAGGAGAGGGGACGAGAGGGGAGAGAGGGAAAGAGAGGGGAGTAGTGGGGAGAGGGGATGGCAGGAGGGGAGAGGGAGAGGGAGAGGGGAGAGAGGGGAGAGGGGAGGAGGGGAGAGGGGAGGAGGGAGAGGGGAGGAGACGGGAGGGGAGAGCGCGGAAGATGAGGGGAGAGAGGCGGAGCGGGGAGAGGAGAGAGAGTGGGGAGAGGGAGAGGCAAGATGGAAGGATAGAGAGAGAGATGGAGGATAGATTTGAGAGGAGATGGAGGAGAGAGAGAGAGGCGAGAGGCATATTGAGGCTAGAGGAGAGGAGGATAGAGAGAGATAGATGGAGGAGAGAGAGATGGAGGATAGAGAGAGAGATGGAGGATAGAGAGAGAGATGGAGGATAGAGAGAGATATGGAGGATAGAGAGAGAGATGAAGGAGAGAGAGAGAGATGGAGGATAGAGAGAGAGATGGAGGATAGAGAGAGATATGGAGGATAGAGAGAGAGATGGAGGAGAGAGAGAGAGATGGAGGATAGAGAGAGAGATGGAGGATAGAGAGATGGAGGATAGAGAGAGAGATGGAGGATAGAGAGAGAGATGGAGGATATAGAAAGAGATGGAGGATAGAGAGAGAGATGGAGGATAGGGAGAGAGATGGAGGATAGAGATAGAGATGGAGGATATAGAGAGAGATGGAGGATAGAGAGAGAGAGATGGAGGATAGAGAGAGAGATGGAGGATAGAGAGAGAGGATGGAGGATAGAGAGAGAGAGAGAGATGGAGGATAGAGAGAGAGATGGAGGAGAGAGAGATGAAGGATAGAGAGAGAGATGGAGGATAGAGAGAGATGGAGGATAGAGAGATGGAGGATAGAGAGAGAGATGGAGGATAGAGAGAGAGATGGAGGATAGAGAGAGAGATGGAGGATAGGGAGAGAGATGGAGGATAGAGAGAGAGATGGAGGATAGAGAGAGAGATGGAGGATAGAGAGAGAGATGGAGGATAGAGAGAGAGAGAGGAGAGATGGAGGATAGAGAGGGAGATGGAGGATAGAGAGAGAGATGGAGGATAGAGAGAGAGATGGAGGATAGAGAGAGAGAGGGGAGATAGAGAGGAGATGGAGGATAGAGAGAGAGATGGAGGATAGAGAGAGAGAGAGATGGAGGATAGGAGGAGATGGAGGAGAGAGAGAGAGATGGAGGAGAGAGAGATGGAGGATAGAGAGAGAGGGGAGAGAGAGAGATGGAGGATAGAGAGAGAGATGGAGGATAGAGAGGGAGGTGGAGGATAGAGGAGATGGAGGATAGGATAGAGAGAGGAGATGGAGGATAGAGAGATGGAGGATAGAGAGAGAGATGGAGGATAGAGAGAGAGATGGAGGATAGAGAGAGAGATGGAGGAGAGATGGAGGATAGAGAGAGATGGAGGAGAGATGGAGGATAGAGAGAGAGATGGAGGATAGAGAGAGAGATGGAGCATATAGAGAGAGATGGAGGAGAGATGGAGGATAGAGAGGAGGATGGAGGATAGAGAGAGAGATGGAGGAGAGATGGAGGAGAGAGAGAGAGATGGAGGATAGAGAGAGAGATGGAGGATAGAGAGAGAGATGGAGGATAGAGAGAGAGAGGAGAGAGAGGAGAGAGAGATGGAGGATAGAGAGAGAGATGGAGGAGAGAGAGAGATGGAGGATAGAGAGAGAGATGGAGGATAGAGAGAGAGATGGAGGAGAGAGAGAGATGGAGGATAGAGAGAGAGATGGAGGATAGAGAGAGATGGAGGATAGAGAGAGAGATGGAGGAGAGAGAGAGAGATGGAGGATAGAGAGAGAGATGGAGGAGAGAGAGAGATGGAGGATAGAGAGAGATGGAGGAGAGAGAGAGATGGAGGATAGAGAGAGAGATGGAGCATATAGAGAGAGATGGAGGAGAGATGGAGGATAGAGAGAGAGATGGAGGATAGAGAGAGAGATGGAGGAGAGATGGAGGAGAGAGGAGAGATGGAGGATAGAGAGAGAGATGGAGGATAGAGAGAGAGATGGAGGATAGAGAGAGAGATGGAGGAGAGAGAGAGAGATGGAGGATAGAGAGAGAGATGGAGGAGAGAGAGAGATGGAGGATAGAGAGAGAGATGGAGGATAGAGAGAGAGATGGAGGAGAGGAGAGATGGAGGCTAGAGAGAGAGATGGAGGATAGAGAGAGATGGAGGATAGAGAGGGAGATGGAGGAGAGAGAGAGATGGAGGATAGAGAGAGATGGAGGAGAGAGAGAGAGATGGAGGAGAGAGAGAGATGGAGGAGAGAGAGAGATGGAGGATAGAGAGAGAGATGGAGGATAGAGAGAGAGATGGAGGAGAGAGAGAGAGAGATGGAGGATAGAGAGGCCCTGGCTGCTCTGAGACCAGCTGGACTCAGCGGGCCCTCAGCAGGACCCCCTGTCGGCCCTGGCTTCTGATTGGCCCTGATGGTGATGGTCTGGAGTCACATGTAGGTAGTGTAGTCGTGTAGCCCCTGACTGTCTCTGCGTAGTCCTGGATGTTGGTGTTGCTGCTTGAACATGTCCCAATCTGTAGTGTCAGAGCAGTCTGAGTGCAGCTGTCCTCTGACCACACGTACCTCTCTGGTCTGGTGACTTTCACTCGGGGTCTGTATGCTGGTTTTAGCATGACAGTGAGGTGATCAGAGGGTCCCATATGGGGGGGGCTTGTAAGCTCCCTTGATAGAGCTATAAACTAGATCCAGGGTGTCTCTTCTCTAATCTGTCTATATCTATAATATATTTATCTATAACCTGTCTCTCTACAGGACTCTGAGGTCTCCGTCTTCGAGCTTCAACACATCCTGGACAGAGTGGTTTCTCAGAGTGAGAGCATCGACAATAATAACAACAACAATAATAGCTTTTATTACTATTAATAATAATGATGTGTGTTCAGGGTCTGATGTGAAGACAGACGGGTTCAGTCTTCAGACCTGCAGAGACATCTTCAGTCTGTTGGACGTATCCTTCTGCGTCTGTATACTGTCATATTTATACTGTCATATTTATACTGTCATATTTATATAACTGTAGTGGCCAAAAACCCAAAAAGTCTGTCTTGTAACCTTCACCTCAACAGTGATTGTTCTTGGCCACATGTAGAGCTTGGGGCGGGGAAGCAGTGTCAGACTCGCAGCACACAATCCACTGGACGTTTCTGTTTCTTTTCAACGTTTATTTCCAGCAAACATAAAACAAAATAGGAAAACAATATTTAACATAAACTTAAACAGCAGATCCTAATAATCTGTCTTCTACTAAGCATAAGGTTGCGTCTGCGTGTCAATGACGGTATTGCTGCTGCCTGCTGCTCCCCCGTCACACACCGCACCTCCAACTGAAAGCCTTAGCCCCGCCCCCTTCACCTGAGCAAAGCACACCTCCAACTGAAAGCATTAACCCCGCCCCCTTCACCTTAGCAAAGCACACCTCCAACTGAAAGCCTTAACCCCGCCCCCTTCACCTTAGCAAAGCACACCTCCAACTGAAAGCCTTAACCCCGCCCCCTTCACCTGAGCAAAGCACACCTCCAACTGAAAGCCTTAGCCCCACCCCCTTCACCTGAGCAAAGCACACCTCCAACTGAAAGCCTTAACCCCGCCCCCTTCACCTGAGCAAAGCACACCTCCAACTGAAAGCCTTAGCCCCGCCCCCTTCACCTGAGCAAAGCACACCTCCAACTGAAAGCCTTAGCCCCGTCCCCTTCACCTGAGCAAAGCACACCTCCAACTTAAAGCCTTAGCCCCGCCCCCTTCACCTGAGCAAAGCACACCTCTCACTGAAACAGAAAAATGCATTAATAAAGGTTCCAAATAAATCAAAACTAAATAAACTTAAATGCGGCTCCTACACACCGGCCACTAATTGTTCTCTCAGAATCAATTACTCAAATTAGCCAAAAGGGAGCCGTAAAACGACCAACGAATAATGACTTTAGAAAAATAAAGTATATACATTACATCCCTTATTGATGTTTAAGGAAGACCTATTTTCCTTGCTGCTGAGTTTCCCTTTAAAACCCAGTACTTCTTACGGAGCTCTGAAAGCATGTCGTTTCTCCCGCTGTGTCCAGAGCGTTCGTGGATGTGTCGTAGTAGGAGAACTGAAGTGTGAGCATCTTTGGGCAGAATATAAGGGTGCTTGGTCTCATCAGGCATTGCAGATCTGTGTAGGCGGCCGCCTACTCTCATGATGCCTTCATCCAGTATAGGATCGAGCCTACAGATCTTACTGCTCTTCTGCACTCTAAATGGAGCGGTTTCCAGCGCTGCCATTTCCACTGGGAAGAATTGCTTTTGAACATAGGTGATGACTGACCTCTCTGCCTGTGAGAGGTCTTCCACTGTGAGGAGCTGGCCACCAAGTGTGGACCTGAAAGCGCTTAGCTCAGTGCTCACCTTTTGGCTGCTCGAGCGGGTGGTGATGGGACCTGAGGAAAGCTCTTTACGCTTTTTGACGGTCAACATCAGAGCATTATTCACCTTGAGGTACCATGTCACTGCTTTAAGTAGCCTCTTCCAATCAGAGAAGTATGAAATAAGGCGGTCTGTGGGAGTTTCAATGCTTGCCACTGTTGTGAATACAGCAGCGTTTTTCCTGACCTCTGGGTCATTTTGCAACAATGGCTCGGAGGTCAATGATTTTTCCACAGGCCAACTTTCCTTTGGCTTCCATAGGAACTCTGGGGCATGTATCCATCTTTTTTGCTGCATACATTTGACTGCACTCATTTCTCTCGAGGCGTCATCAGCAGGATTTTCCTTGCTGCTTACATATCTCCATTGAGACCGTTCACTATTGTCACGAATCAGTGACACTCTGTTGGCAACATAGGTCTTAAACCTAGTGTAGTCATTACCGATGTACTTGAGTACTGTTTGGCTATCCGTCCAGAAGACTGAGGGGTTTAAGTCCATGTGTAGTTCTTTCCTCAGCATTTTGTGCACCTTCACTAACAGTGTTGCAGCTACCAACTCCAGCCGCGGTAATGTGATGTGCTTTAAAGGAAGGACTCTGGATGTTCCTAGGATAAATGCAACATGAACAACATCCTGAATGTTAACCTGCCTGAAGTAGCTTACTGAGCCATAGCCATTCTCACTGGCGTCTGAGAAGTGATGCAGCTGTGCAAACGTGTGTGTTCCATAGCTCTCTGGCTTCAGACAGCGAGGCACTTGGAAGTGTTTTATCCTCTCCAGACTTGCTATCCATTCGATCCATTTATCTGATATAGTCTGGGGCAAAAGTTCGTCCCACCCGAAGCCTCTCTGGCAGAGCTCTTGTAGCAACTGCTTGGCTGGGAGAATCAGAGGAGCCAGAAAGCCGAGTGGATCAAAGATTGAACTTACAACTGAAAGTATTCCTCTTCGTGTATGTGGCTTCTGGTTGAGATGGATGTTAAACTGGAAATGGTCAGAGTCCACACCCCACTGCAAACCCAATGTTCTTTCAATGGGGAGACTGTCTTTGTCGAGATCCAAAGTCCTAACATCCTTTGCCCTTTGCTCTGTGGGGATGGAGGCCAGAACTGCTCTGCTGTTGCTAACCCACTGGGTCAGCTGAAACCCGCCTCTCCTGCATAACGCAGTGAGGTCCTTTACTAGCTGGATGGCTTCAGTTTCTTTTGAGACTGACTTTACACAGTCGTCAACATAAAAGTTGCTTCGGACACTTTCAGCTACTTGAGGTGGGAACCCATGTTCATTGTCTTCAGCCGTTTTTTGTAGCGCACAAGTTGCACAGCTTGGGGAGGACACAGCACCAAACATGTGCACCAACATGCGGTATTCGTTTGGGGGCTTACTGGTATCACCTTGTGGCCACCACAGAAACCGCAAGTAGTCCACATGAGATGTATCCATTCTGACCTGATGGAACATTGATTTTATGTCGGCCATAAATCCAATTGGCTCTTTGCGAAATCTCACAATGACTCCGACAAGAGAATGATTCAGATCAGGTCCCTGCAGTAGCTCTGTGTTCAGGGACATGCCTTGGTAAGAGGCTGCACAGTCAAAAACCACTCTAAGCTTTTTCTTTTTGGGGTGGTACACCCCATGGTGTGGCATGTACCATTTGTGTCCGGGTGACTGTGTCAGATCTCCCTGTGGGACCTCCTGCATAGTTGTTCTCCAAGATGTCGTTGAGGAATGCAACGTATTCCTGCTTGTAGTGCTGGTCCCCCTTCATCTTCCTTTTTAAGCCCTGCAGGCGCTGTTCTGCAATTTGGCGGTTGTTAGGCATGCTGACATTGGCTTTCCTGAAAGGCAACTTTAGACTGTAGGGTCCGTTTTGCAGGGTAGCCTCACTGGCTACTTTCAAAAACATTTTGTCCTCAACTGACATCTCTGGCTTTTCCTCAGATGACACTTCGTTGAAGTCCTGGTTGTACTGTGACATTAGAAGCTCTTCCAAACTTGTGGCAGATATCCTATTCACAGTCACTCTCGCCGTACTGCCCTCACCGCCATTTCTGAGTGGCCCATTTACAACCCACCCCAATAGAGTTGTTACTGCGGAGGGGCCCTCACCTTGGCTATTAATAACCTCCCATGGCTCTAACAGCTTTGGAGCATTCGTGCCAACTAATAATTCCACTTTAGCACTGATACTGGGAAGTTGGACTTTATTCAGGTACGCCCACTGCGTTAAGTCATTCTGGTTGGGAATGCTACTGGAGGTGACTGGCATTTCTCTCTGGGTGAAAACGTCAGGAAGAGGTAAGAAGTTGTCGCTGTTCAGTGCTGAAACTTCAATTCCAGGTATGACATGAGATGGCACCAGTTTTTTCTGATTCATTGTGCTTAACAGAATATGTGTTTTTCTGCCTTTCAGGTTGAGTTTAGACATCAGCGCTTCGGAGCAGAAGGTAGCGGTGGAACCAGGGTCCAGGAGGGCATAGACTTGAAAGACTTGACTGCCTTTTGCTGCCTTAACTTGCACTGGGACAATGGACAGCACATTCTTTTGTTCTCCGGCCCCTATGTGGCCACATAACTCTGCTGTGGTTCTGCCTGCTACACCAGAGGGCCTTTCAGTCTGTTTTGTCGGACCATCTTTAACATAGATGTGCAGGGCACTTGGGTGGGCTTGCTTGCAAACTCTACAGGTGAGGCGTTGTTTACAGTCTCTACTAATGTGGCCAATAGAGAGACAGCCAAAGCATATGCCCTTGATCTTTACAAAGTTCAGCTTGTTCCTATGTGTTTCTTCAAAGAACCGTTTGCACAGTTCCAATGTGTGCTTGCACCTATAGAAGGGACAGGAGGGTTCAGGCTCTGTTTCTTTTGGGGAAATAGTGACACCTGTGGCAAAACTGCTGTCATAGGCCTTTGAGATCTGCGACTTAACAGGACATCTAGTCTTTACAGCCACCTTTCCTTTGGCAGCTGACTGGTCTTGAAGGTCACCAAAAACTGGGTCTGCTGCTATGCGAGCTTGCCTTTCAATGAAATAGACAAGATCTAAAATCCTTACTCTACGACTGCGCTCCTCTTGCAGTGCGTAAGCTTTGCTGCGCCATCTCTCCCTGAGCTTGTATGGAAGCTTAAGCACAATGCTTCTCATGTTGGACACTGTGTCGAGTTCCTCCAAGTACTCCATTTCCTCCATAGCGTTGCAGCAACTCCTTAGAAACATGGCGTAATCCTGCAGCGACCTTGAATCTTCAGATTTCACTAGGGGCCAGGATAGAGCTTTTTCCAGGTAAGCACAAGAGAGTTTGTATTCGTTCCCAAAGTGTTCCTTCAGTAAACGTTTTGCTTTCTGAAAGCCTCTGTCTGGAGACATGTATTCACAGCTGTTGACTAGCCGCTGAGCTTGGCCTCTGGTGAACTGTATAAGGAACTGCAACCTGTCTCTGTTGTTGTCCGTTTTGTTTTCAATACAATGTTCAAAGGAGTGAATAAAGGACTTGTACTCCATGATGTGTCCATCAAAGGGTGGAATATTTCCTTGTGGCAGCGTCGAGAGAAGTTGTTGTTTCACAAGTATCCTCGTCAAGCTGCTTTGATTCTCCAGTATTTGAATCATGTGGTCATCCTTTGCTGTGCTGGGCGTAGGGGGGCTTTGTCCTTGTGGCAGAGTTGGCTGTGTGTTTTGGGGTATGACAGGTGGAATAGTGTGCACTGAGGTTTGTTGTGGCTGATCATTAATGCTCTCTTCATGATGAATATCAGGCAAACTGTGTGCGTCATCTTCACAGACATTCAAAAAGGGAAAGTGAAATGGGGCGCCTGCCTTGCTCCTAACAACTGGAGCACCTCTGTCATAAGGATGAGCTGAAATACCTGGCTTTGTATCCCTCAGTGTGGCAGCTGCTGCTTCAGCCTGTGCAGGGCTAAGCCTGGCTAATTCATTGTCTTTAAGATAATTAATGTTGGCTGTGTTGCTGCTATTTCTGTGTGTAATTCTAGTGTTTCTCTTCTTTTTTGTAACATTTGTTCCTGTTCTTCAATGGCATGTGTTTCTTGTAACATAGAAGCTTTGGCCAATAAGGCTGCTCTCTCTGCCTCAGCATTGATGCGTAATGAGGAGGAGGAAGAGTGGCTGGATGTTATGGACCTCACTGAGTGTGTATCCACCTCGCTCAGACTGCCGCCTTCATTTGCATAGGCACCTTCTTCAGCTGGCAGACCTTCCACTTGAGTCAAGTTGAGTGAATCAGCATTTTCTATGTCAGTTATCCATTTCGTAACTTTGGCAAGGAATGAGTTTATGTGCGTACATCTCGGCTGATACCATTTCTCATCGTCCTCTGTTCTTGCGCTCTCATCCAACATTTGCGCATATGAGACATGCAAGGCTTTAAAATCAACCGAAAGTTCGTTAAACTTCAACATATTGCCTTTGACTTCATCCAGATATTCCTTATCGGTCATTAGGTTGTTCACAATGTTCATTCTCCGTGTTAAATGCAAAGCTTTTCCTGATCTTGATGAGCGCAGCTGCGCCGCAGCCTCATCCATGTCTGCAGGTGTCGATTCCGCCTCATCAGAACTCGCCATTTTAATCCAATATAAACTTCCAAAAAGTCTTCAAAATGTTTAGAAACAGTTCTTGTGGCTCCGTTATCCTTGTATGTTCAACACTTAACTCAGGTTACTTCATATGTTCATTTATAAGAGGCTATATTTCACCGCTGCTCTCTTTTTCTTCGTCACAGAGAGGTTGACAAATAAAAGACTCACTGTCCATAAACACAAATATCAGCGGTGAAACCTGTTTCTAAACACTTCAGGTATTTCTTCCAAACGAATAATCCTTCAGTGATGTTTGATCTGAAAGCGCATACCTCCTCCGAAGTGTTTCTTTGTTTGCTCCGCCACGCGTCGGCCGGCGTTTCCTTTGTCTTAGATTCCTATGATCCCTTTGATCCTCCAATAGTCCTCGTGTTTCCAATCACAGCGCGTCATTGACTAATTGTAGTGGCCAACATCCCCAACAAGTCTGTCTTGTAACCTTCACCTCAACAGTGATTGTTCTTGGCCACATGTAGAGCTTGGGGCTGGGAAGCAGTGTCAGACTCGCAGCACACAATCCACTGGACGTTTCTGTTGCTTTTCAACGTTTATTTCCAGCAAACATAAAACTAAAACAAAATAGGAAAACAATATGTAACATAAACTTAAACAGCAGATCCTAATAATCCGTCTTCTACTAAGCATAAGGTTGCGTCTGCGTGTCAATGACGGTATTGATGCTGCCTGCTGCTCCCCCGTCACACACCGCACCTCCAACTGAAAGCCTTAGCCCCGCCCCCTTCACCTGAGCAAAGCACACCTCCAACTGAAAGCCTTAGCCCCGCCCCCTTCACCTGAGCAAAGCACACCTCCAACTTAAAGCCTTAACCCCGCCCCCTTCACCTGAGCAAAGCACACCTCTCACTGAAACAGAAAAATGCATTAATAAAGGTTCCAAATAAATCAAAACTAAATAAACTTAAATGCGGCTCCTACATTATATTATAATAATAATTCATAATAATTTATAATGATTTATTATTATAGTATAATATTATAGTATAATAATAAATCGTAATAATATAATAATAAATAAGAGTTTATAGTTCTTGAAGCTGCTCTCAGACGGACGGCAGCGGCAAGCTGGATCTGAAGGAGTTTCACTGTCTGTGGACCAGGGTCCAGAAGTACCTGGTGAGTATATATACTGTGTATTTATATATATACTCTATCTACTCTACGTATTATACTGCACCAGGGTCCAGAAGTACCTGGTGAGTATATATACTGTGTATTTATATATATACTCTATCTACTCTACGTATTATACTGCACCAGGGTCCGAAGTACCTGGTGAGTATATATACTGTGTATTTATATATATACTCTATCTACTCTACGTATTATACTGCACCAGGGTCCAGAAGTACCTGGTGAGTATATATACTGTGTATTTATATATATATATACTCTATCTACTCTACGTATTATACTGCACCAGGGTCAGAAGTACCTGGTGAGTATATATACTGTGTATTTATATATATACTCTATCTACTCTACGTATTATACTGCACCAGGGTCCAGAAGTACCTGGTGAGCAGTGGCGTTTTCTCCCGGAGGCCAAGGGAAGCCAGGCTTCCTCTGTTTTTTCGGATTGTAGTTATAATTTAAATAAATAAATAAAAACACTTTGTTTTGTTTCGATAATTCTCCTTTGCTGTGTGTTGCTGCCGGTCCGTCTCTCCTCCATTCTGATTGAGTGTTTTACAAAGAGTGAAACAGCACCCCTCTAGATGTTATGGTGAAACAGTAGATGGCACTCTCTGTTGCGAGAGGAGGCCAGCCAAAATTGGCTTCCCTTGGTGAAAAAAAATGGAGGGATTGACCAATCAGACATGACATCACGTCATGCCCCTGCCAACCTGTGATTGGTCAGGGCCATGCCAAGGGAAGCCAGAGGCGGCTGGCTTCCCTTGCCTCACAATCCAATCAAATCGCATCAACTTAGTGTGGCAGTGACGCGTCCTAAGATCCGGAAGTAAGCTGCTCTCGGTTTCCCTCGACAGAAAGCAATGGGATTTCTCCATAGGATTTAGGAAAATAGCTCGAAATAAGGTCAGTGGAAAACGAACCTGTTAGATAAATGCACGTTTTCTTCAGTCGGATAATATCCACATGTCGACCCTACTTTTATAATTTCCGAATCATAAATCTAATCGATAGAAGATAGATAGCGTCACTGCACCACTCTCACCGCCGTTAGAAAGTAGCAAGCAACTGAAGCAAGTGCAATTATGGAGGGTGGAGATGTGGAGTATTTAATCAAAAATAATTGTACTAAACTTCCGCTACAGCAGCAACAACAAATACAATCTGATGACAGGCCGATGCCCAAACTGGAGCTGTGTACAGCGAGGAACAAAGGAGCGAATCGGACGTAAAACGTTAAAGGTCTCCTGATTTACAACACATCCACCCCAGCAGCTCTCTCCACTGCATATTCCTTCTCCCATACACCCAGACCCACTGGCAGAGGAGGTGGCACTGGTCTCCTGCTATCTCCCAAATGGAGCTTTTCCCTCTTCAAGCTACCTAACTTCACTCCTTCCACCTTTGAATTCCATGCCGTCACAGTAACCCATCCTATACAGTTAACCATTGTTGTTCTCTACCGTCCACCAGGTGCCTTGGGGGACTTCTTGGAGGAATTAGATCATCTCCTCTCACTCATCCCTGAAACTGGCCCTCCCACTGTACTTCTCGGAGACTTCAACCTCCAGACGGGGAAGATAGACGAACTAACATCTCTGTTAACCGCCTTTGCTTTCTCACTGTCTCCGTCCCCACCGACTCATAAAGCTGGCAATGTCCTTGATCTCATATTCTCAAGGAACTGCTCTACTTCTAACCTCTCTGTAAACCCGCTCCACACATCCGATCACTTCTTCATTTCATTCTCTCTATCCCTTTCCAAACATAACAAACTAATCTCTTCCCATCCTGCACTTGTCCGCCGTAACCTTCGCTCCCTCTCCCCCCCTACCTTTGCCTCGTCGGTGCTCTCAGCCCTCCCTTCCTCTGATTCGTTCCATCTCCTGCCTCCAAACTCTGCTGCAGAAACTCTCCTCTCTACTCTCTCATCCACTCTGGACTCGCTCTGTCCTCTGACATCTCGGCAGGCTCGTCAGTCCCCTCCTGCTCCCTGGCTAAATGATGCACTGCGTGCTAATAGAACCGTCCTTAGGGCAGCAGAGCGGAAATGGTGGAAATCCAAACACCGTGACGACCTCCTAACCTATCAGGCTCTCCTCTCCTCTTTCTCTGCTTCGATCTCTCAGGCAAAAAGCACTTTCTTTCAAGATAAGATCCAATCTTCCTATTCCAATCCTAAAAAACTATTTTCCATCTTCTCCACCCTCTTGGACCCCCCCCAAAGCCCCTCCCCCCTCCTCACTTCTGTCAAGCGACTTTGTTACCCACTTTGAAAAAAAGGTTGATGATATTCGCTCTTCTTTTTCTGACTCACCTTTACTCACCTCTGGGTCACCAGACCCTCCTTCCACCAACACACTTACCTCCTTTTCCCCTCTCTCTCCAAGTGAGGTTCTTAACCTCATTACCTCTGCCCGCCCTACCACCTGTCCTCTGGACCCTATCCCTTCAAACCTCCTTCAGACTATCGCTCCTGATATTCTACCGTTTCTCACCCATTTCATCAACACTTCTCTAACTTCTGGTCACTTTCCAAACAGTCTCAAGGAGGCCAGAGTAAACCCTCTCCTAAAGAAACCCACTGTCAACCCGTCTGATGTTATAAACTACAGGCCTGTCTCTCTCCTCCCGTTCCTGTCTAAATCACTTGAACGCGCTGTCTTTAAACAACTCTCCTGTTATCTCAATCAGAACAACCTTCTGGATCCGCACCAGTCTCGTTTCAAGGCAGGTCACTCCACAGAAACTGCTCTCATTGCTGTCACGGAGGAACTGCACACTGCCAAAACTGCATCCCTCTCCTCTGTCATCATCCTATTAGACCTGTCTGCCGCATTCGACACGGTGAATCATCAGATCCTCCTTCGCACTCTCCAAGCACTTGGAGTTTCAGGCTCTGCACTTTCCCTCCTCACCTCATACCTGAAAGACCGTACCTACAGGGTGACTTGGAGAGGGTCTGAGTCCGACCCTTGTCAATTAACTACGGGGGTCCCTCAGGGCTCTGTTCTTGGTCCCCTCCTCTTCTCCGTGTACACAAACTCGCTCGGATCAGTCATTAGCCCGCATGGTTTTTCTTACCACTGCTACGCTGATGACACCCAATTAATTCTGTCCTTTCCCCGCTCAGAGACCCAGGTCGTTGCACGCATCTCTGCTTGTCTAGCTGACATCTCTCAGTGGATGTCTGCTCACCACCTCAAGCTCAACCTTGACAAGACTGAGCTGCTCTTCCTCCCGGGAAAAGATTGTCCCACTCTTGACCTAACAATCAACATCGGCACCTCTGTTGTTTCCCCGACTCAGACTGCAAGGAATCTGGGTGTGACCCTAGATAACAACCTGTCCTTCACTGCAAACATCGCTGCTACAACCCGTTGCTGCAGATACACGCTTTACAACATCAAGAAGATTACATTACATTACATTACATTGCATTTAGCTGACGCTTTTGTCCAAAGCGACTTACAATAAGTACATTCGACCAGGAAGACACAACCTTGAAGAAAACAGAATCATATAAGTATATCAGGTTTCATAGAGCCAAACATTTCAAGTGCTACTCAACTGGCTTTAGGTAATCCAGTCCTTTATTGCTATAAAAGTGCTTCGTTAATCGTTCTAACGCTCGAAGTGGAGTCGAAAGAGATGAGTTTTCAGTTTGCGCCGGAAGATGTGCAAGCTATCTGCCGTCCTGATGTCAATGGGGAGCTCATTCCACCATCTTGGAGCCAGGATAGCAAACCCACGTGTTTTCGCCGATGGGAACTTGGGTCCCCCTCGCATCGAGGGCGCAACGAGTCGTTTGGCTGATGCAGAGCGTAGTGCACGCGCTGGGGTGTACGGTTTAACCATGTCCTGGATGTAGGAAGGGCCAGATCCATTCGCAGCACGGTAAGCAAGTACCAGTGTCTTGAAGTGGATTCTAGCAGTTACCGGAAGCCAGTGAAGGGAGCGGAGGAGCGGAGTGGTGTGGGAGAATTTAGGAAGGTTGAAAACCAGACGAGCCGCTGCATTCTGGATGAGCTGCAGAGGTCGGATGGCACATGCAGGTAGACCAGCCAGGAGGGAGTTGCAGTAGTCTAGGCGTGAGATGACGAGAGCCTGGACCAGAACCTGAGTCGCTTTCTGAGTCAGCTGGGGACGTATCTTCCTGATGTTGTAAAGCGTGTATCTGCAGCAACGGGTTGTAGCAGCGATGTTTGCAGTGAAGGACAGGTTGTTATCTAGGGTCACACCCAGATTCCTTGCAGTCTGAGTCGGGGAAACAACAGAGGTGCCGATGTTGATTGTTAGGTCAAGAGTGGGACAATCTTTTCCCGGGAGGAAGAGCAGCTCAGTCTTGTCAAGGTTGAGCTTGAGGTGATGAGCAGACATCCACTGAGAGATGTCAGCTAGACAAGCAGAGATGCGTGCGACGACCTGGGTCTCTGAGCGGGGAAAGGACAGAATTAATTGGGTGTCGTCAGCGTAGCAGTGGTAAGAAAAACCATGCGGGCTAATGACTGATCCGAGCGAGTTTGTGTACAAGGAGAAGAGGAGGGGACCAAGAACAGAGCCCTGAGGGACCCCCGTAGTTAATTGACAAGGGTCGGACTCAGACCCTCTCCAAGTCACCCTGTAGGTACGGTCTTTCAGGTATGAGGTGAGGAGGGAAAGTGCAGAGCCTGAAACTCCAAGTTTTTGGAGAGTGCGAAGGAGGATCTGATGATTCACCGTGTCGAATGCAGCAGACAGGTCCAACAGGATGATGACAGAGGAGAGGGATGCAGTTTTGGCAGTGTGCAGTTCCTCCGTGACAGCAATGAGAGCAGTTTCTGTGGAGTGACCTGCCTTGAAACCAGACTGGTGCGGATCCAGAAGGTTGTTCTGATTGAGATAACAGGAGAGTTGTTTAAAGACAGCGCGTTCAAGGGATTTAGACAGGAACGGGAGGAGAGAGACAGGCCTGTAGTTTATAACATCAGACGGGTTGAGAGTGGGTTTCTTTAGATACGTCCCCAGCTGACTCAGAAAGCGACTCAGGTTCTGGTCCAGGCTCTCGTCATCTCACGCCTAGACTACTGCAACTCCCTCCTGGCTGGTCTACCTGCATGTGCCATCCGACCTCTGCAGCTCATCCAGAATGCAGCGGCTCGTCTGGTCTTCAACCTTCCTAAATTCTCCCACACCACTCCGCTCCTCCGCTCCCTTCACTGGCTTCCGGTAACTGCTAGAATCCACTTCAAGACACTGGTACTTGCTTACCATGCTGCGAATAGATCTGGCCCTTCCTACATCCAGGACATGGTTAAACCGTACACCCCAGCGCGTGCACTACGCTCTGCATCAGCCAAACGACTCGTTGCGCCCTCGCTGCGAGGGGGACCCAAGTTCCCATCGGCGAAAACACGTGGGTTTGCTGTCCTGGCTCCAAGATGGTGGAATGAGCTCCCCATTGACATCAGGACGGCAGATAGCTTGCACATCTTCCGGCGCAAACTGAAAACTCATCTCTTTCGACTCCACTTCGAGCGATAGAACTATTAACAAAGCACTTTTATACTAATAAAGGACTGGCTTACCTAAAGCCAGTTGAGTAGCACTTGAAATGTTTGGCTCTATGAAACCTGATGTACTTATATGATTCTGTTTTCTTCAAGGTTGTGTATTCCTGGTCGAATGTACTTATTGTAAGTCGCTTTGGATAAAAGCGTCAGCTAAATGCAATGTAATGTAATTTAGTTTGTGAATGAATGCTTATTAGAGTTTGGGCTGGAGAGTGCGTGCGGACCTGTCGGTTAGATAACAGGCGTGTGTAAGTCCTGCATCTGATACAAATGTGTGTAAAATGATACCGGGTGCTGTAATCACTCATCTGGCTACGTTATTACATTGACCACCACACCCCGACCCAAAAGAAAGGACGTATTATTGGCTTCCCCTAATTTTTTTCCCACGCCACGCTACTGCTGGTGAGTATATATACTGTGTATTTATGTAAGGGACAATGTGCAGCGAGGCGGTCATTCTGGGTAAAAGAACACCCGACAGGCAGATCAGGATCTTTACTAACTAAGGGTGTTCTTCATAATGACCGCCTCGCTGCACATTATCCCGCTTATTACTAGGGTTGGGTACCGAGAACCGGTTCCGGTTCGGAACCGGTTCCAACATTTAGATTCCAACGGCATCATTTAGAAATGTGAATTTTGGTTCCGCTTTTCGATGCCTGAGGAAATGTTTCTCGCCGCTCTCCGTAGCCTACTGTATGACTGCGCCGGGGCGGGAAATGTAGCGTTGTACCTACACTTCCTACAGTGTAACCTGGGACCAGGGTCGGCCCGTCGCACTGGCGTTATAGATGTTCGCCTAGGGCGCCAGATCTGGGGAGGCGCTGCGCTGACAGCTCTGGGAGGGGGAAAAAAGTTTTGACCGTTGGTGCTCATCCTAATTTTCGGCCTTGATGTAACAACATTCATAATTAAGTAAATGTAACACCCTTTTCATCCCGGTTACACTTTTCATTTGCCCTGTACGATGGGCGCTGTAAGTGATGAAAATGGGGGATGTTGGCTTATCTGGCGCCCGCAGCTCACAGCCAAAGTGCGAGTGAGCGAGGGAGCGAGCGAGGGAGAGAGGGAGGGTGCACCGGTACCAGCGCTGTTGTTATTAGCATCTGGTGCTAGCTGCTCTAACGGAAGAAGAAGATGTTCTCCAATAATGTGGAGGGAGAGTCCTCTCCAGTCAGACTGAGAGGCTGATAACTACAGCTCAGTGAGGTAAAGGACTCTGAGGGTTTAGATAGTTCACTTTAGTCTAAGTTATCTCAGTGGGTCTCAAACGGTTTGATCACAATTTTTGTAAACACATATTTCCAAGGCACTCCTTTATAATTATTGGGATAAACAGGTTTGAAATCATTCCAATGTATACTATAGGACAGTAACCCAGACATATCGTTTTGAACTGGAGAGATAAAAAAATATGCATAAATAAAATAGTAAAATAAGATATGAATGAACAACAAAATAAAATACGTTACATGTATTTGTTATTGGCTATGGGTTATTGGTTATGCTCACATACTTATTTGATTATTAAAATGTAAACCGATCTTTTTCATATGGGTGTTTAGAGTTGTACCCCCTAGATCTAGTCTCTAGTAGTTCTGCTTAAAGTGCACCAGATTGAAGCATTTTACTTTAACATGTTCAAACATTTCTTCCAGGTATGCCTGAGAGGCAGATCTGCTTGTTTTTCTCAATAAGAACTGTTCTTTAAAAGTTGCACTGTTGTAGCTTCAGTGGTTCAGGTTACAGTTACATAGCAGTGAATATAAACTGATTCATGTGAATATTACTGTTAACTAACCTGTGTAAAAGTTTCTCGAATAAATGTAATTTATTCGCTGCTCAGTGAGCTGGCTTACTGGTGTGGTTTCTGGGTCGGCGATACAGCGAGAGAGCGCAAAATTCATCCTGAGCACACAAATACTCACAGCCGAAGTAAAAACAATAAGTGTGGCTTGATATTGAGGTTTATAAACGCTGTGAGCATTTCTCCGCCATCCCAACTCCCTGTTAGTTGAAAATCTACGCTAAAGGTCCTGGTGTGTGAGGTGCTCCGCGGATTGGTCCATTTTGGTTCCGGAAGAAACAAATGGAAAAAGAGAAATGTCCAACGAGGCGTTCAGGGGCAGCACAGACTGTGTTAGAGTGTTACTCCCTACAGGGTGCACTTTGAGGGTTTGAGACTCTGCAGAGCGTTCACATGCAGAAGCTTCAGAACACAAGGGGACGGGTCAGAGCCAGAGAAGCATGACATGGGACCTTTAATTGAAATGCTTTTATAGATTTAGAACATGTTTTTATTGATTTAAAAATAGTATTATTGATTTCAAAAATAGTTGTATTGATTTTAAATGACAAAAATAGTCCGTTGTTACTGTTTGAACTAACGTAGCAACGGCAGGAACTGCTTCGATAGTGTTTTTTAGGAGATTTTTGATTACAGACTTGAAAACATCGTTGCTTGCTTTAAAAGTAGGACAATTCATTATGTGAAACCTTGGGAAGTATCTAGATATCCCTGCCCTAATGCCAAAGGAACTGCACACTGAATATGTTTTGCCGTTAGATGTCTGGACCGTTGAGTAAAAAGGAGGGTTTCTGCCCTGTTACTTCTCCGCTGTTTTCTTGTCCCTCTTGTCTTCTCGGTCCGAAAAGCGGACAAACGGTATACAGTTAAATCGACCGGACTTCTTTGTGCAAATGTGAGCGTCCTTAACAACGGTCAATACATGCTTGAAAGTGGTCTGTACTACTGGATTAAAAACGTGTCACGTGTTCTGAATTGACCAATCAGAATCGAGTATTCAACTAAGCCATGTAATAAATAAATATATACTCTATATATTATACTGGACCAAGATACAGAAGTACCCGGTGAGGGTTCATTCTACTGTGCATTTACTGTATATTTATACTGGATATATATATGAATACTGAATCCATGGTAAGGACAGACGGGGCTGTAAACTTCTTCTTCTATGGTGTTTCTACAGGAAGTCTTTCAGAGGTTTGATTTGGATGCTTCTGGAACGATGAGCAGTCACGAGATGAGAGCCGCTGTGACTGCAGCAGGTACAGTATTATTATTAATATTTGTATTATTATTATTGTTATTATTTGTACTATTATTATTATTATTATTATTATGATTATTATTATTATAAATTATTATTATTATTATTAATATTTATATATTATTATTGTCGTTAATATCCTGTGTGTGTGTGTGTGTGTGTGTGTGTGTGTGTGTGTGTGTGTGTGTGTGTGTGTGTGTGTGTGTGTGTGTGTGTGTGTGTGTGTGTGTGTGTGTGTGTGTGGGTAGGTTTCCAGGTGAACAGTGTGTTACTGCAGCAGATTGTCAGCAGGTTTTCTGATCAGAGTTTCTCCGTCGACTTCGACTCGTTCCTCGGCTGTTTGATCCGTCTACAGCTGCTGCTCAGTCAGTATAAATACATATATATATATCACTGATATACAGTTATATCCAGTTGATATATACATGTATATCCAACCCAGTCTCACGGCATTTCGTGTTCACCAACACGATTTTTAATCTATTGATTCGTGTTCACCAACACGATTTGCCCCTTTTGTTCGTGTTGCACAGCACGATTTTAAAAGCAATGTATTTCTACTGGTAATGTCTTTCGTGCCTGCAGCACGTCTTTTTCTCCGGTCGGGTCGAGGGAGACCGGAAGCTGTGTGGTTCATAAAAACATGTTCTTACTCAATATCAAGCCACAGTTATTGCTATTATTTTAAATTGTATAATTTCGGACTTTTTTTGTCGTCTGTGAGGAAAATAAATGGCTCAGAGCCTCAGGATACTGAAATCTGTATTTTTTAAATCTTTTTTTCCTTCTAATTTGTTATTCTTTTCAAAATAACACACTGTTATTTACTCACCAATAACACACAATTATCCTTGCTTTTATTTATTGGTTTAATTCCATAATCTCGGGCTTTTTTGGCGTCTGTCAGGAACTGAATTTCAAAATAAAAATAACCGGAAACAGACGTAGGCATTTAGAGCGATTACCCAAGATCCTCAGCTATGGTTTTAAGCTCGCTTATTGGAGGTTTTAGCCGCAATGCATGCTGGGATTTGTTGTTTATATGATATGAAATCCGGAAAACATTTTAAAAGAATAAAATAATACTTAATTCCGAGTGCTCTTGCTTTTCTCTTTGAAAGTCATCACATAACGGCATTGTAATACACGGTTCGGCTGCATTGTATATTACAGATCTGCCGTAGTTCTTTATTTATAGAGCCCTGATGAGAAGACCTTTGGAAAAACTGAGAAAATGCCGCCGAAACTGAATACTTGACGTTGTGAAGGTAAACTTCTGTTGTTGCAATGTTGAGGTAGAATGAAGGAGTCTGGAACCGTTGTTAGCCAAAAGCACTGAAGAGTTTTATTGATCACAGTACAGACAATAACGGCCGGGGAGATCACTTAGTTGCACACCGTCCCGTGTTTCACCAGCGATCTCTGAACCAAAAGACACAAAACATCTAACCAACACGAGGAGAGGCGGGCTTCCAGAAAGCCCGCGTATAATCAATAGCCGATGCAAGACAATGATCTGCTTGTCTCAAAGAGATCCTGCCAGATCTCAAACCCCCCCACGGATATCGGAGAAGCGTTTGACCTGTGACCTCAACCTACAGTGGAGTCTTTGAGTGACTACAAGCAGATGTTTGCAGTATCACAGACTCTAAGGAACCATAAAAGACTCTATAAACAGATCAGATGAAAATATTCTCTTACAGACGTGGATCATAAATATATTCAACAATTAAACAACATCTTCAATTTCTCTTCACACAATACGTCTCCTTGCAGTATCAACACTAATTCGGCCGACTTTTACATTTGATCTAATTCACAGATAGGTTATATTTACACCATAACGGTGCACAGCTGATATAAAAGGACTGTAGTTTTTAAAGATATTACTGATTTTCTTTAAATGTAAGAATGTAAATACTGAGTCTGAAATAGTATAGCAATATGCTGTAAAATGATGTGAAAGCATGAATACAACTACACATCTTCAGATGTTGTACATACACAAGTGTCCTACACTAATAATACAAAGTTATTATGGCTGTGTGTACCTTGTGTACCTAGTGGTTAAAGCACGTTATTGAATTATTGTTTTTATGTGTTATATTTGATTAAAAAAATATTAAGAGTACATACTTTCATAGGGGGAAAGTAGAAGGTCTGTGATAGAAATATATAATATAAAAAATCAAGAAGATACTATAAGTGATCTCTACAATAAAACAGTTTAGTGCAGGATGTACAAAGATATGAATATGAGGAGGTGCAAAACAGACAAACGAATTAACCTTTATTTAAACATTAAATAATACTTTAGATTAAGGTCTTCTTTTAAATAAGAAAAAAACTTTGGGGGTATCTACAGATAAATATTAAGCCTGACAAAGTACTTAACGTCTAATGTATTGCTTTCCTGCAATGTTAACTATGTTGAAGCACTTATTTTAACTGATATTATACATATGAATTATACTCTTATGTAGATAGAATAAGAAATGTGCAGAATATGACAGTTTAATGGTGGAGGTACACACATATTGATAGATGTCTTGTAATGCACTGTTGAGGAACCTGTGACCCAAGTGTTTCATTCATTGCATAACTACACCGTAGTTGTGTATATGATATGTCAATACACCTTAGAAAATCTTGAAAGGGATGTGCAAAATAGCCATAATATACAGTCTTTAATTAACTATTAGTAGAAAATAACAAGTAATGAATATACTTTATTACTCGTTTCCATTCATGTCAATTGCATATAAATGTTTAGTCTTCTCAAGCACCAACTATCAAATATCTCTCCTGATTATTGGCACAATCACCTTCCCTGAATTTTACTCAGGTGTAACTAAAGTCTGATTTAAGGGTTGTTTATATTTCACATCATTAATCAGAATCTGCAAAGTAACTCAAATAAATGCAGTGGAGTAAAAATACCAGGTTAACCTCTGAATTGTAGTGGAGTAGAATTACAAAGTAACAATGAGCTATCATGTGGGTATATATTAATGCTGCGCATTATGGACACAAGCGATTTTCACCCATGTATTAATTATATGTTTTACATTTGATAACACCAATATGTTTAATACTGGCAACTTCTAATTGTGGGAAAAACGAAAACGTTCAGTAGAGACGTCCCATAGAACATTTTAAGAAACACAATAGCCAGCATCCAGCATGTGTAGTTCTGGGGGGGCGTTCGATTCCAGTTTTGGATAGTCTGGCGTGGTTTCGTTCCATTTCACACAGTTGTTTGACGCTCTGCGTAACCTTACGGGGACTGTAGTCCTAAACGATTGCTGGGGATTATGGGTAGTGTAGTGTCTTCGGCCATCCTAAACTCAGAAATGTTGACAATCGCAATAATGCTCGAAATGTCCCTTATAGGCCTACGTCTGTTTCCGGTTATTTTTATTTTGAAATTCAGTTCCTGACGAACGCCAAAAAAGCCCGAGATTATGGAATTAAACCAATAAATAAAAGCAAGGATAATTGTGTGTTATTGGTGAGTAAATAACAGTGTGTTATTTTGAAAAGAATATCGAATTAGAAGGAAAAAAATGTTTAAAAATACAGATTTCCGTATTCTGAGGCTCTGAGCCCCATTTATTTTCCTCACAGACGGCAACAAAAGTCCGAAATTATACGATTTAAAATAAAAGCAATAACTGTGGCTTGATATTGAGTAAGAACATGTTTTTATGAACCACACAGCTTCCGGTCTTCCTCGACCCGACCGGAGAAAAAGACGTGCTGCAGGCAGTAGAAATACATTGCTTTTAAAATCGTGCTGTGCAACACGAAAAAAAAAGGGGCAAATCGTGTTGGTGAGCACGAATCAATAGATTAAAAATCGTGTTGGTGAACACGAAATGCCGTGAGACTGGGTTGGTATATCAGTGTGACGGGGTTCTATTTGTCCGTTTGAAACATAGGCTTAGTCGGTTGAATGAAGCTCCAAAACTTCATTTGACAACAACAACAAAACGGCTGTCAGTGGCAGAGTCAGTCACTCTGTGATCCGCTCTGTCACAATCAGATCTGGGGGAGCGCTGCGCTGGCAGCTCTGGGAGAGAAAAAACTATTTTTGACTGTTTGCGCTCATCCTAATGTTCGGCCTTGATGTAACAACATCCATAAGCGGACCAGATTGAAGCATTTTACTTTAAAATGTTTAAACATTTGTTCCCGGGGGGGGGCATACCCCCGGACCACCCTAGAGGATGTGACGTCCACCCCCCAATTAAAAAAATGTCATACAATACTGAATACATTTGAAGCCTTCTTTATGTATGTCAATAAGTTTATGTTTTTGTAGTGTATTTGTCTTTTGTAGAGATGTATTCTTTACATATTCTATTGTGTATTCCTTGGATACTCTATTGATCTTTATCTTCTGTACTGTACTAATTTCAGCCTGGGGGGGGGGGTTGCCAGCTAAGATCTTGCCTAGGGCAGAAAATTGGTCAGAACCGGCCCTGTATATCACTGATATCAATATCCAGTTGATATGTGTATAATATCACTGATATACAGTAATATGTTCTGAGGACTCTTACAAGGTGTTGGTTAATGACAGGAATCACAGAGCAGACACAATGTTCTCCTTTTCTTCACAGAGATGTTCAAAACTCTGGACGTGAAGAAGGAGGGTAAGATCCACCTGGACCTGCAGCAGGTAAACAGACCATAACTAACCTGCTAACTAACCTAACTATCCACAACTAAACCAACCAAACCAACTAATCTGACTATCCTATACTAACTAACCTAACTACCCACAATTAGACTAACCAAACCAACTAACCTGACTATACTATATTAACTAACCTAACTACCCACAACTAGACTAACCAAACCAACTAACCTGACTATACTATATTAACTAACCTATACTAACTAACCTAACTACCCACAACTAGACTAACCAAACCAAATAACCTGACTATCCTATACTAACTTCCCACAACCAGACTAACCAAACCAACTAACCTGACTATCCTATACTAACTAACCTATACTAACTAACCTAACTACCCACAACTAGACTAACCAAACCAACTAACCTGACTATACTATATTAACTAACCTATACTAACTAACCTAACTACCCACAACTAGACTAACCAAACCAACTAACCTGACTATCCTATACTAACTAACCTATACTAACTAACCTAACTACCCACAACTAGACTAACCAAACCAACTAACCTGACTATCCTATACTAACTACCCACAACTAGACCAACCAAGCCAACTAACCTGACTATACTATATTAACTAACTTATACTAACTAACCTAACTACCCACAACTAGACTAACCAAACCAACTAACCTGACTATCCTATACTAACTAACCTATACTAACTAACCTAACTACCCACAACTAGACTAACCAAACCAACTAACCTGACTATCCTATACTAACTACCCACAACTAGACTAACCAAACCAACTAACCTGACTGTCCTATACTAACTAACCTAACTACCCACAAGCAGACTAACCAAACCAACTAACCTGACTATACTATATTAACTAACCTATACTAACTAACCTAACTACCCACAACTAGACTAACCAAACCAACTAACCTGACTATCCTATACTAACTACCCACAACCAGACTAACCAAATCAACTAACCTGACTATCCTATACTAACTAACCTATACTAACTAACCTAACTACCCACAACTAAACTAACCAAACCAACTAACCTTACTATCCTATACTAACTACCCACAAGTAGACTAACCAAACCAACTAACCTGACTATCCTATACTAGCTACCCACAAGTAGACTAACCAAACCAACTAACCTGACTATCCTATACTAACTAACCTATACTAACTAACCTAACTACCCACAACTAGACTAACCAAACCAACTAACCTGACTATCCTATACTAACTAACCTATACTAACTAACCTAACTACCCACAACTAGACTAACCAAACCAACTAACCTGACTATACTATATTAACTAACCTATACTAACTAACCTAACTACCCACAACTAGACTAACCAAACCAACTAACCTGACTATCCTATACTAACTACCCACAACTAGACTAACCAAACCAACTAACCTGACTATCCTATACTAACTACCCACAACTAGACTAACCAAACCAACTAACCTTACTATCCTATACTAACTAACCTAACTACCCACAACTAGACTAACCAAACCAACTAACCTGACTATCCTATACTAACTAACCTAACTACCCACAACTAGACTAACCAAACCAACTAACCTGACAATACTATATTAACTAACCGATACTAACTAACCTAACTACCCACAACTAGACTAACCAAACCAACTAACCTGACTATCCTATACTAACTACCCTATACTAACTATCCTAACTACCCACAACTAAACTAACCAAACCAACTAACCTTACTATCCTATACTAGCTACCCACAAGTAGACTAACCAAACCAACTAACCTGACTATCCTATACTAACTAACCTATACTAACTAACCTAACTACCCACAACTAAACTAACCAAACCAACTAACCTGACTATCCTATACTAACTAACCTATACTAACTAACCTAACTACCCACAACTAGACTAACCAAACCAACTAACCTGACTATACTATATTAACTAACCTATACTAACTAACCTAACTACCCACAACTAAACTAACCAAACCAACTAACCTTACTATCCTATACTAACTATCCACAACCAGACTAACCAAATCAACTAACCTGACTATCCTATACTAACTAACCTATACTAAATAACCTAACTACCCACAACTAAACTAACCAAACCAACTAACCTTACTATCCTATACTAGCTACCCACAAGTAGACTAACCAAACCAACTAACCTGACTATCCTATACTAACTAACCTAACTACCCACAACTAAACTAACCAAACCAACTAACCTGACTATCCTATACTAACTAACCTATACTAACTAACCTAACTACCCACAACTAGACTAACCAAACCAACTGACCTGACTATACTATATTAACTAACCTATACTAACTAACCTAACTACCCACAACTAGACTAACCTAACCAACTAACCTGACTGTACTATATTAACTAACCTATACTAACTAACCTAACTACCCACAACTAGACTAACCAAACCAACTAACCTGACTATCCTATATTAACTACCCACAACTAGACTAACCAAACCAACTAACCTGACTATCCTATACTAACTACCCACAACTAGACTAACCAAACCAACTAACCTGACTATCCTATACTAACTAACCTAACTACCCACAACTAGACTAACCAAACCAACTAACCTGACTATCCTATACTAACTAACCTATACTAACTAACCTAACTACCCACAACTAGACTAACCAAACCAACTAACCTGACTATCCTATACTAACTAACCTAACTACCCACAACTAAAATAACCAAACCAACTAACCTTACTATCCTATACTAGCTACCCACAAGTAGACTAACCAAACCAACTAACCTGACTATCCTATACTAACTAACCTAACTAACTAACCTAACTACCCACAACTAAACTAACCAAACCAACTAACCTGACTATCCTATACTAACTACCCAGAACTAGACTAACCAAACCAACTAACCTGACTATCCTAGACTAACTAACCTAACTACCCACAACTAAACTAACCAAACCAACTAACCTGACTATCCTATATTAACTAACCTAACTACCCACAACTAGACTAACCAAACCAACTAACATGACTATCCCATACTAACTAACCTAACTACCCACAAGTAGACTAACCAAACCAACTAACCTGACTATCCTATACTAACTAACCTAACTAAATAACCTAACTACCCACAACTAGACTAACCAAACCAACTAACCTGACTATCCTATACTAACTAACCTAACTACCCACAACTAAACTAACCAAACCAACTAACCTGACTATCCTATACTAACTAACCTATACTAACTAACCAAACCAACTAAACTGACTATCCTATATTAACTAACCTAACTACCCACAACTAGACTAACCAAACCAACTAACATGACTATCCTATACTAACTAACCTAACTACCCACAACTAGACTAACCAAGCCAACTAACATGACTATCCTATACTAACTAACCTAACTACCCACAACTAAACTAACCAAACCAACTAACCTGACTATCCTATACTAACTAACCTAACTACCCACGACTTTCCTATACTAACTAACCAACACTAACTCACCTATACTAACTAACCTATACTAATTAACCAATGCTAACTAACATATACTAACTAACCTGAGTAACCATCAATCAATCAATCAATCAATCAATCAATCAATCAATCAATCAATGTTTATTTATATAGCCCAATATCACAAATGTTACATTTGTCTCAGTGGACTTCACAGTTTGTACAGAATATCAGTATGACAATACGACACCCTCTGTCCTTTGACCCTCTGTCCTTAGACCCTCTGTCCTTAGACCCTCTGTCCTTAGACCCTCACATCGTACAAGGAAAAACCTCCGGAGAAAACCCACAGTTTAAAGGGAAAAAATGGGAGAAACCTCAGGGAGAGCAACAGAGGAGGGATCTCTCTCCCAGGACGGACAGACGTGCAATAGATGCCGTGTGTACATTGAAGAGATAATACATTTGAAACATAGGTAGTCCAAATGTTTGGAAATGCATGTGTGTATAATAGGAAGATGAATCCACAAGGATATCCATCCAGGACTTATGATCCAGGACCACAGCCACGACTCAAGATCCAGGGCTCGCGATCCAGGACACAGGACCGCAGCAACAGGATCATCCATGACTCCGGATCCCGGCGTATATCGACACCAAAAAGAAATACATTTGGGGAAGCTGGGTTAATCGGAACATGAGAGTACACAGGTATAGACAGAGAGAAGGAAGAAGTAAGAAGTCCCCCGACAAACTAAGCCTATATCAGCAAAACTAGGGGCTGAATCTAATCAGCCCTAACTATAAGCTTTATCAAAAAGGAAGGTCTTAAGCGCACTCTTAAAAGCGGATAGGGTGTCTGCCGCCCGAACACAAACTGGAAGCTGATTCCACAAATGTGGAGCTTGATAAGAAAAGGCTCTGGCTCCCATTGTACTTTTAGAGACTCTAGGAACAACCAACAACCCTGCATTCTTGGAACGCAATGCCCTAGTAGGACAGTAGGGTATAATGAGTTCTTTAAGGTAAGATGGCGCCTGCCCATTAAGGGCTTTGTAGGCGAGAAGAAGCATTTTAAATTCTATCCTGTGTTCTATAGGGAGCCAGTGTAAGGCAGCCAGAACAGGAGTAATGTGGTCCCTTTTCCTAACTCTGGTTAGTACACGAGCTGCAGCATTTTGAATCAGCTGAAGCCACTTGACTGACTTCTTGGTACACCCTGATAATAAGGAGTTACAATAATCCAGCCTTGAAGTAACAAATGCATGGACTAGTTTCTCTGCATCGTTTTGAGGCAAGATATGCCTGATTTTTGCAATGTTACGTAGATGGAAGTAGGCGGTCCTTGAAATTGATTTTATGTGGGCGTTAAAGGATAAATCCTGATCAAATATAACACCAAGATTCCTTACAGTCTCACTGGAGGCCAAATTAATGCCATCCATAGTTAGTATATCTTTAGATCGTTTGTTTCGTAGATTCTTCGGACCGAGTACAATAACTTCAGTTTTGGTCGTGTTTAACATCAAAATGTTTAAGGATATCCACGTTTTGAAGTCCTTGAGGCAGTCTTGAATTTTATTTAGGTGATTGGTTTCATCAGGCTTGATTGATAAATATAGTTGAGTATCATCCGCATAACAATGAAAGTTTACAGAATGATTCCTTATAATATTGCCTAACGGAAGCATATATAATGTGAACAAAATAGGTCCAAGCACTGAGCCCTGTGGCACTCCATGGCTAACTTTGGTTTGCGTGGAAGATTCATCGTTGACACGTACAAACTGAGAGCGTTCAGATAGATAGGACCTAAACCAGCCTAAAGCAGTTCCCTGTATGCCAACTAAGTGCTCTAGTCTTTGCAATAAGATATCATGGTCGATAGTATCAAATGCAGCACTGAGATCGAGCAAAACAAGAATAGAGACAAGTCCCTTGTCTGAGGCTATTAGAATGTCATTTGTGACTTTAACCAGAGCTGTCTCTGTGCTATGATGTGTTCTAAAGCCAGACTGAAAATCTTCAAATAAATCATTGTTTTTTAAGTAATCACACAACTGTTTTGTGACTGCTTTCTCGAGAATTTTTGAGAGGAAAGGAAGATTAGAAATAGGTCTATAGTTGGCTAAAACCTCTGGATCGAGGTTGTGCTTTTTAAGAAGCGGTTTTATCACTGCTACTTTGAATGATTGTGGAACATAGCCTGATAATAAAGACATATTCATAATATTTAATAAAGAAGTGCTAATTAATGGAAAAACTTCCTTCAACAGCTTAGTTGGAATTGGGTCTAACATACACGTTGATGGTTTAGAAGAGAGAATCATTGAATGTAATTGTTCAAGGTTTATGGCTGAAAAGCATTCTAATTTACTATCTAGTGTAATA